GTATTGTGTAAAACCTGTTTGGACCTCGTTTAATTATCTTTTGTGCAGTACTCGTCATCGTGGTCACCAAAAGAATAATTTAAATAAAGTTCATACAGCAGGTATCGATAATTTACTTGTTTGACGGTTAGAGAATCGGAAACCGAAAGATATCTGTTATATACGTCAAGCCTTTGCGTGGCGTATACGACAGATCCAATCAACATCAACCCCTAAGTCTAATTCAGTTGCAAAAAGTTTAATTAGTTCTTTCAGTTCACAGGCATCCTCAGTATCATCAACTGATACTTCTTGTCAGACAACTCAAAGCCTTTCCAGTCATACTCCAAGGAAAGAGAAACTCCAAAAAATGTTAAGTCACCAAAAAGATAAGTATAACGAACTTCAACAAAAATTTAATATTTAAAAAAAATATTATGCTGATAACCAAAAAACTTTTACTTCGTTAGAACATTTTCAATTAATGTGCGATCAATTTCTTAATAAAGGTTTTTCAAATTTTGTTAAAGTTCAATCAAAACTGACTCTATATAATCCTAAAGGTCGTAGATATTTTTACGAGACAAAAAAATTTGCACTCATGATACATTTTTTAGGCCCTAAGGTGTATAGATTTCTTCAAAAATCAATGATTACCTTCACCTAGAACTCTATAAAGAACAACTGAAAACTGGGAAATAAATCCTGGTCTTAATAAATTTTTGTTTAGTGTTTTAGCAGTGAAAGTAAAATCTATGGAACCTAAGTCTAAAGAATGTGTCATGTGTGCAGATGAGATGTCCTTTAAATCTACTCTTTATTATGATATTAAGAAAGATGAAATTATAGGTTTTCATAATACTATATAACGGGACAAAACGAGTAGGCTGTTGATTTCGCGCGAATTAATAATCAAAACGCCGTATAGAGCTCGTGGTCGGAGCCGAGTTCTCCGGCCAACACAACTTTTGGTGACTTTTATACTTATTTTACACCTTTAAGATACTCAAAGGCTGCACTCGAGCCTAATAAAAATGCATTCTCATCGCCACATACAACTGAAGACATATACCACACGAAGGAACACCAACAACATCGGCTTGTGAACGAGATACTACATACCATCACGTAGCAAGAAAGTACAGATATAGAGGCCGTATTCGCCGCCCAAAGAAGACCGTTCGAACGTTATACCAGTACGAAATCGATATTGTTACGCTTTACATACCACCGCTGCCTAGAGGATCCTGCAGCGGAGTCCTCGACACCTATATCGGTACCTTTGTGGTCCAGCTCTTTTCCTGACCCTGCGATGTGAGTAGTAGTGATGGTAA